TAACGCAGCAGTCAGAGGAGCCAAATTTGTTTGGTACATCAGATTGAACCCTGTCCCACAAAGCTCATCAGCAGTGGGCGGAGGGAGGCTGCAAGTCCCAGCATCCGCAGGGACTGACTGAGGGATGGCTCAGACCTCACTCATTATTAGAAGGGCTTTTCCCTGCCCATCCTGTCTGCAGTTGCTGGCTCTGGCACCTTCTGGCCACAGTGCTGAGAGGGAAGAACCTTTCTTTGCAGTGATCTGACCCGCCCCCCCCGCAGCTAGCTAATGAGGCTGTTTAGATGCAGTGTTGCTGTTTTCCTGGAAAAAGCAGACAGTCACAGTGCAGCAGAGCTTCCTAGCAGTATCATGAAAATAATGGAAGGCTGTGACTGACCCATTTTCAATCAAATGGAAAACTCTGTTTTTGTTTCCCATTTTAGTTTCTCCCTTCGAGACATCTCATAGCAACAGCTCTGCTCTGCTGTTAGCAGCTTGTCCTTGTGAGGAAAAGCAAGAGCCCATTAATGAGCCGAATTTGTCACTGGGGGAACTCTGCTGACCTACTTACACTAGCCACATATTTGACACATTATGTTAACCTTCCTCTGCCTCCTCCACAGTTGAAAGGAAAATACCTTTCCACTTTAATCAGGACAGCAGGGAACACAAAGAGTAAGAATTAGGAAAAAAACAAAATCCCATGCTGTTCTCAGCATCCCACAGCACAAGACTTGAAGTCATAACCCAAAGTGCAAGCACATGCATCTACAGGGGAGATGCATCAGCAATGGGTGTAGAACAGCCCTGACTAAGTCAGCTCTAACCTGTGCATACCTACGAGCACTGGAAGGATGCCTGAAGGACAGCCCTTTACAGGGTGGCTCCGGGGATGTAAAGCCAGTCAGCAATGGCAGTGGGCAGGTGAGTCATGACTTGTAGCCTAACCCACCAGTAGGTCTCCATGGGATTGTAACGATTGTTTGGGCACGGCGAAGTGAGGGCATCGATGATGTCATTCAAGACCAGAGACATGTCTTTCAGGCCACTGTTAACGAAGGATTTCATCAGGGCCACATGGCGAGTGAAATACTCCCTCCCATAGTCCTCTCGCACAGTGTTGCTGGCTCCGCTCCACAGTGCCTCAGCCTGTTTGTCGATGCCGTCTGCCGTCAGGATGCCTGTTGCTGCCACAAAGTTACTGGGCTCAATGAGGATGACTCTGACACCCCAGCGGTACATCTCCTGCCGGAGGCAGTCAGAGAAGGCTGCCACCCCAAACTTGGAGATGCAATAGCAGGAGCGAGATGGACTCACCATCCGTCCCAACATGCTTGTGATATTCACCACACGGCCTAGAAAGAAAAGAGAAGGGAGAGATGATGGGCTGCAGAAGCAGCAGCCAGAACATCCCAGTAAAAAGGTGCTTTGTTGGATGATACTGATTTCTAAAATCTGAATCCTGAAGAGACATCCAAATCCCCTGTCAAGGAGCCCTTCTCTCTTGACTCAAGTAAGGCGAGCCCCTGCTCTGACCTCCTCCATGGATGGTACACATGCCTGCCTCTGTATTAAAAAGGATTTACAAAGCATACAAGACATTTCTCTCTTAATTTCCAAGTAGGGAAGTACCCAGATCTTCTGAAGGCTACTAGCTGTGTGCTCTCATAGCGTGCCCCACTCCCGCGCCTTGCTACAGAAGCGTTCAAGCTCCCAGCTAGCAGTGTTACAAGCTGGAAAGCGCACAACGCAACGTGATGCCATACAAGTGTTCTGGTTCTTTCTGTAAGCACAACAGCTCATCTGCAGCTACTCTAACACAGCTACATGCTTCTAGACCTGAGCTGGATGGCAGAGAACTAGTAGAGGTTTCTCTGCACCTGCAGCATGGGCAGCACAGCCTGCCCACCCAGCTGGCTGGCCAGCAGTACCCAGAGTGCCTGACGCAAAGGGAGAGGAGACTTGACGTGCTTCTGTCTATTGGGCAGCGAAGAGCTGTTGTCCTAACTCCTACCAGCAGCCCATCCCAGCCCGACTGCAGAGCTCTGGCAGCTTCTGTTACACATGCACTACCCAAGGGCAGCGACAGCAGTGGTCACTCCTCAGCAGGTGGTTCTGGCCTTCCCCAAGACAAGATGCGTGCAATTATGGTTTCATATGCACTTATAAACAGGCCCTTGAAATCTCACCAGCTATTTTTACAGAGAAGATTTTCACAGCCGTGGAGCATGACACCCTTCGCAGCTTGAAATTTTAGCTGAGAAATAAGTGGGTGGCTCTGCTCTCTCATTCCAGACCGAAGTGCAGCTTGGAAGGACTGTGAGAAACATCTGCTGACCTGATGGGTAAGCTACCTTTTGTAGCGAGATGGGGCTTGTTTAGTGGATACTTGCTTTGTGGAAATGGTATCTGAGCAATCTTCTCAATACAACATCTTTTTGTCCTCACAGAACACACAGCTGTGCCAGTGTTCTCCCACACATGCTAAATAAAGAAGCTCTTCAGAGTTCTGCTCATACATATCTTTCTTTTTTTTTTAATATAAAACAAAGACTTTTGATAATACTGTTATCTTGTAAGATATCTAAAATGGCTGTTATTGAGTCTCATTTATTCCACCACTACCACTCTGCAATCATCCCTGAAATGCGTAATGTGAAGGGAGAAGATTCAGTCATCCAAACACAAGCACCTGCCGGACTCTGGAGGCCAGGATTATTTTGTCTGGCCTCCAGTCACTTTTTCTAAAGGTGGTCTGGAGTCCTGTGTCATATCTGCCAGCACTGCACAAAGGTCTCTGATATCCTGGGATGTTTAAGATGGCACCTGCTGTGTAGGTGCCTGGACTGACCCAAGAGTGGCATGTACTACCAAATGCTTACACCACATGTTGAACCCTGCTGTCTAGTTTGCCTGCATGCCTCAGACACCTTCCTTGGACTGCACAGGCATTCCCCGAAGCACAGTCTGAGTCATGATTTTTAGCTACGTCTCTTTGCTGTGCTGCAAAAGTTCTCTCTGAGTCTTGCCACACTGCCCAGCATGTACCTTTAGCTCTGCGAATAAGGGGCAGGAAAGCCTTCGTCACCCTCACGGTACCCCACAGGTTGATCTCTGCCACCTTCTTGTAGTTGTCTAAACTTGCAAATTCCACCTCTCCGAAGGTCGAGACGCCAGCATTGTTCACCAGACCCCACAGACCTGCCAACAAACACATGGTTAAAGAGTGGAACGAGGAACAGTGTTGCAGAGGAGCCTTCCTTGTTGTTCAAAGTAACCCAGCCTCTTGACACAGAACCAGCCACTTTTGTAGAAAAATGTTGTAGAGAAAAATGCAGGAAGGAGACGAAATAATACACTCTTGATATACCAGAAGTGAAGCCAGTGCGGCTTTTTTGGAACGTCAGGGAGAGTGATAGGGCCACACAAGCATTGCCTCCCTGAATGTCTCCTCTAACGTCAAAGGCTTTCCTGCAGCTTTGTACGGCTGGATCTGCCTGACCCTCTTTTATGCCTCCTGTCGGTCCCAGGTTTGTCTTCACTCAGTGACTTTATCATGGCTTTTGCAATTTGGAGGCAGCTGGATTTTCCCTCAATTTAAAAAAAAAAAAAAAGGAAAGAAAACAAGTATCTTGGATTTCTAAATCCCCTTCACAACTCTGACTCACTGTTTTGGAGAGTACATGGCATTGATCTGCAAGTTCATGGGCTGGCTAACAGCTGCTGTGGTTTAGTCCAGGTATTTGGTTTCCCTCAACTCTAACTATAGCAGAAGATGGCAAACTTATAACCAACCCTTAAAACTCCTTAAAAATTAATGTCTTTTGTGCATGCAGTCCTGTCAAAATTAAATTGACTGCACTTACCAAAAGCTTCTGCACTGAGCCTCTTACATATCCAAGACTTGGCAGGTCACTGAGAACTTGACCCTTCGAAGTGATTACTGCAGGAGTCCCAGTGGCAAACATTTGTAGGACCGAGTCCGTACTTTGTGAATTTGTTGGAGCACAGGACTGTGCAGCCATAAACTGCAGGAGGAACAAACAGAATAGCTGGAACAAGATAATAGAGCTGCTCCTCATTAGATGACCTGCCATACAGCATGGTTATTTTTCACTGTGTAAGTACCCAGTTGGAGTTGGGGCCCCTTCCACTCCCTGACCTTCCTTTTACCACCAAGAACAAACACAGGGCTAAGAAGGAGTCTTCATGTCCAGGGAGCTCTGACATTGCTACCACATCATGCCACTCTGTTGATAAAACAAGCTCGCTCTCAAAATTTTTTGGCCTGTTTGTCCTGCCTCTGCTTCATAGCTTCTCTCCTGATGTATGAAAGTCTTTTATAACTTCCAGCCTATATTTATTCATGGTCACATAGTAACCATGTATTGTACCAAAGAGCCCTCTAAGCAAAGTGCAATATTCTATCATTGCCCAATAAATACCAATGGAATTTATCCTCCTGGTGCATTTAAAAACACTAACATGCCCTTGCAAGACCGCCTCTTTACTGCCACAGCAACCCCAGTAACCGTGCCCTGTTCCCAGCTAAGTTCGTTTTTCCCTGAAGGCTGTTGACCAGCCGTGTATAGCAGACCAGAGAGGGTCACGTCCTACCCCGTGATAACAGTGCATTAACCATTCCCCCATGGTCTGTCCCAGAATGGATTTGGCTATTAGAGCTGCCACCATTCCCACATCTCTGAGCTCTCACATGGTGATCCCAGCACCCCTTTTGCCCTGCACAACTGTCTCAGGCAGTGGTGAATATTGCTCCAGTTCACTGGTCTGCAGCTCTAACCTCCTTCAGAACAACTCCTTCCCAGTCCCCACAGGCCACAACAGCCCTAAGGGCTGTTTGGGATAACAGCTAAGTTGTGGCCTGCAGCAAAAGCCAAGAAAACCACTTGCTCACCTAGCCTTACTTCCATTATTATTATTTCAAGTCTCTAAATGCTGCAGTCAGGTAGTTCTACTCCTGCTCTGCCCAAGATCTCCTGCCTGTTGCTGCTGCACTTACTGAAGCTGCCAGTTTTAATGGGTCAAGATAACTCTGAAATTCACACTCATCTGGCAGCCAGCACAGCATCTCAGCCTGAAAGTGGTCCCCTGTGCTGCTGCAAAGCAGGCTCTAATTGCTAGCAGGAGGACCACAGAAACAGGGAATCTGATGGTGTAATTTCACAAGTAACAAGAAGCTATGCAGAGCAAATTTGGCAGGGATATAATTTCACAAGAAACAAGCAGCTATGCAGAGCAAATTTGGCAGGGATTATCAAAGACCACAAAAGACTTAAACTGTCACTCCCAAACTGACCTCTGCAGAGTATTCCTGATTGTAAATTCCTCTACAATGATTTCCCATTTCTTGGGTTATGAGGTTAGATTCAGGGACGTTCATGAAAACATTATTTACAATAGTTCATCCTTGGAATTTCATTGCTCACCGATCAGGTCACGTTATGTACAGAACAAAGTGCTGACAGGTACCCACTCACAGGGCTGTTTGCTGGACAGCGGTGTGCTTATCGAGCAGAGCCTTATCTGTATTATTTCTTTAGTGTCAACAATACAGTGGGAACTGCGTAAGACTGAAAACAAACAGGGGCACTCCTATTGAAATGAGTTCAGCCTTATATACACAGCTCAGGGAAAAGAGGTATAAATGCACAGCGCAAGAACTGTTCTGCATTAGCTCCTCTGGGGCCACACTCTGTGTGCAACAAGCACCTCTGTGCAAGGCACCTCAGTCTCAGTAGTCTCTATCTTCCAGCACTTATTTATTGAGCACTATTTATTGGCAAGCCCCAAACCTCAGTCAGACTGATGGGCCTAAAAAGAAGCCTTTGCTGCTTTGCACGCTGTGCTGGAGCAAACAACTACAGGATAAGGCTCTCAAGAGCAGGACGAACCAGTCCAACGTGCTGATCAAGGATGTAAGACTTCTCTGTCCCTGCTACACACATGGTTTTGCAAACACTGCTGCATTTATAGAAGCAACAGAGCTGCTCCCTTACAAGTTTTCACTCAGTGGGAAATGGATCTGTGCCACCACTGCTGTTGCTGGGCTATTCAGGAAAAGCTTGAGAAGCTGTGAAATGTGTGACGAGGGCTGGGTGATTGTGTAGGATGAAAAATCACGCAGAGAGAACATGTGTGGGATCAGAGATTGTACATAACTCGGTTACATTTCATATGCTTGTTTTAGGAGGAAGGGTGTGCTCATGTAAGTTGTATGAAGATTAGAGCTATTGCTATTTACTAGCTTCATACTTGCTGTGAACAAAGACAGGCCCATGGTAGTCTCATCCAACCTTCAAGAGGAGCAACCACCCTCCAGCCACACATCCCTTAAGTCCCGTAGCCACAGATGTGAAACTTCAGTCCACCCTCAGCCTGGATCTATGGCTGCTGTCCAGCTTGCTACTTGCACAGCAGCTGCAGAGAAACCTATGCAGGGCAAGAAGCCTCACAGCCTCACCACATAGAAGAGGTAAGGTGGTGTCACACCAGGCTCCAACTGTAAGCTCACATCCCACTGCCAAACCACTTCCAAGAAGAAAAGAAGCATGCAGAAAAGATTCGTATCTTCTGTCACATGCTCTTAGAGTCCATGAGTTGGACTTGTGCTTAAGGTGGCAGGTGGATTAAGGTGGTCTACACCAAGCCCACCCGGGATCCTGCCTCACATCACCTCTGGGATGTTGCTTGGCAAACTGAAAGCACAGATTGACCTGATTGAAAAATAATCCAGGTTTGAGGGCAGGTCAGTTACATGAACAGGTTGTACCAGCACAGCACAGAGGACAGCAGTAAGCAGCCAGGGCCTGCCACCTCTTCACTAGCAGGGTCGCCACAGAAATGTCTGTGAGCCAGGCTGCTGCAGGAGCACCAGGAGGGAATCAGGCTTTGGCCATCCTATGCCGTTCACAGACACTCAAGGAGAAAGACACAGGTTCTTGTGGGCTTGCTCCCGCTCATCACTTTTTATGGGATGTAGAGTTAGAGCCTAATCCTCCAGCCAGTCTTCGTCTCTTGGACAATTCTCCTCACTGACCCAGGTACAGCACTGCTTGACTGCCACACACTGTCACAGGCCTCCAGGCTTGTTAACCCTCTTTTGGTGGTGCGGACAGGGAACGACCTGGCCAGTGCATGGCCTAGTCTGTAGGAAGGATTCTGTGAGCACAGCAAAGAGCCAGCTGTGCTGGAAATACAAAGATGCCCACATACCTTCCTCTGGCTCCTTCAGGGTCCCCTTCACAAAATCCACAGCCTGAGCCACCTCCTGGTCACTGCACACATCCATCTGTAGCACTTTCATGCGATCTGACTTCATGTTCTTCAGCTCCCTGGCTCCATCTCCATTCTCATCCTGTTCAGCAGAAAAGAAAGATGTCCCACTAAGACGGACAAGGAATAGTAATGCAGCTTGGGGCCAGGCACACTCACATGGATAGGAAACAGAAGCTACTGAAACTGCACACAAAAACCTGGTGCACAAAAAAGCACGCAAGCCACATGAACCAGTGTGCAACCCACAGCCATCTTCCTATTCCCTCCAGCACAGCTCCTGTGCCTGCATGAGTGACCCACTGCTCTGAAGGGCCACAAAGCCCCTGCCCTTAGCTCCTCGCATGACAGGTTTCACATCTGTAACACTGTGAAATACTGTGCCAGTCTGGGATAACCATGGGTGGTTCTCCACTGCCTGTCTCTGTGCTCTGCAGGTAACATAGCAAACACTTGTACAGAAATCAGTCTCAGATTTTCCAGGCTTAAAAGCAAAAGGTTAATTAGGTACTGTACTTATGTAATCCCAAAATATTGTCTGGCTTCTAATAAAGTAGTATGGTCAGACCACTTTGAAAACAAGACAACAGGGACACCTTTGGCATGCCTAACAACAAACAGTCTGATGCTACAAGACACAGCAAGAAACATTTGCAACTGAAACTATATTATAATAATATTTTGCTCTTACTACACAGCAGAACAGGATGCACAGGAATACATGCACAGTGGAGATCTGCCACACAATGACAAGATTACAGACATGAGGCATGAAAGGAGGAGATTCTGGCTGAGGAAGCAAGAACAGGTATTTTTTTTTTTTTTTTCACACTATCGGTAATAAGAACACGATGGCTCTGCTTTCCTTCCTAGCCTTTTCCTCTCTTTCCTCTTTTTTTCTCCCCACCCTGCTGCTATCATTAGAGATTCTGTTACTATTGTGGGGTTTTTTTGTTTAGTCAAACATAAACACAGTTCAAATTCCAAATTTTACCTGGTCACTTCCAGACAGGATTGCTGCCTAAGCCTTAAAGCCTTGCTCAGGTGGTATATAACAAACAAAAGTGAAAAGAGCACAGATTAGCCATGCAGTTCCACAGCAGGCTCAAGATTTAATTCACCAAACTACTCCCTGAATCACAGGCTCTGTCTCATTAGGGAGGAAGAAGTTATGAATTGGTGAGTCACCATGCCTGGCTGCCACTCTTCCTTTAGCACTTGATACCAACTCCCACAGCACAAGGGCAAATGAGGCAAGCAACCCTCCCACAGTCACCTGCTCAGCTGCCTCTGCAGCCAGGCTGATGTAAAAAACACGTAACCGCCTAGTTTTTCTATACTTATCTCAGGCTATTTAATGAATATAGTATGTAACATCCCACCTCCACCTTCAGTCCAGTGAACAATGACGTGCAATGAAGGAAAAGAGCTGAAATGTCCAGCACAGCCTCGAGCAAAACAGGGTAGCTCTCAAAAATTAATATATAGTTGCACTGGCATTATGACAATAGTAGGAATGAGTTTCTGGCCCAATGGCTGCACATCATTTCACAACTGACTTATTTCCAGGTATCACAAAAACAGCAAATAAAGACTTGAAGCTCTTCTAATGCACATCAAACATGGTGACATGCTGTGTCTAGCGCTCTTATTTAGCCACAAAAAGAATCTCTGAAAGTGGCCTTACAAGTAGTTAAAAACATAGTGATCAAAATATTATATTCCCTTTGAAACACGTGACAATTGTGTGACACCTCACTATATTTCTGAAAGATGCTCTTGCATCTCACTGAGTTATACAAAGCAACTTTCAGCTACTTAACAGTGAATGAAGTGGAGCTAATTCAGCTTGTAGAGAGAGATTTACTATATCTATATAGAAACAATAACTTAACTATATCTGTACTCAAGTACTAGTTGTTATTTCAGAGCACTAAAAACACCTTTCCCTA